TTAATCGTTTTTTTATTTATTTAATTAATTTTTAATTAAATATTTTTAACTTTACTTTTAGGGGCTTCGGGGAAATATTAGGGGTCTAAACAGATATTCCCCTTTTAAAATAGAAAAAAAAAGAGATTGGAGGACACAAAGTCCTCTATCTCTTTTCTGTGTCCCCTGTTATCAATGAACAGGAATCCTCTATACTGAGTGTTTCTGTTCATTTATAACTTGGAGATAGTATGTTTACTATACCTACAACTATGAATGAACATGAGGTGATGTAGATCACTTCCCATTCATTCATAATGAGGATATAGTAAACATACCTTGTCCTCAATTATTTACAAAAACTCAGCGATCATTGAGTGTTTGCTCACGCTCTGACACCCTGTCACAGGAGGCTGAGCGAGTGGTGCAGGGAGGAGAGCTCAGCCTCCTGTGACGGTGCTTGCTGTCTCCGCCCCCACTCCTCTCTGCCGGACTTTGATAGGGAGCTGAGTGGTGTGGGAGGAGAGACGCCGGCCGCTCAGTGCTCTCCTCCCGCAGTGCTCGGCCGGCTGTCACACTTTCTCTTCTCCCCACTGGGACACAGAGCAGTGCCCAGCGGGGAGGAAAGAAAGCAGGGATGCGCCGCTGTATCGGCAGGAAAATTGCACTTTTGGCATTTAGCCAAAAGTGCCATTTTCGGCCGTTATAATCGGTGCATCCCTATTTAGGAGTGTGTCTATGGGAATGTTTGACCATTCTTCTAGAAGCACATTTGTGAGGTCAGGTACTGATGTTGGCCGAGAAGGCCGGGCTCGCAGTCTCTGCTCTAATTTATCCCAAAGATGTGTCTATCGGGTTGAGGTCAAGACTCTGTGCAGGTCAGTCAAGTTCCTCCACCCCAAACTCACTCATCCGTGTCTTTTATGGACCTTCCTTTGTGCACTGGTGCGCAGTCATGTTGGAACAGGAAGTGGCCATCCCCAAACTGTTCCTACAAAGTTGGGAGCATGAAATTGTCCAAAATGTCTTGGTATGCTGATGCCTTAAGAGTTCCCTCCACTGGAACTAAGGGGCCAAGCCCAACCCCTGAAAAACAACCCCACACCATAATCCCTGTTCCACCAAACTTTACACTTGGCACAATGCAGTCAGGCAAGTACTGTTCTCCTGGCAACCGCCAAACCCAGACACATCCATCGGATTGCCAGACAGAGAAGCGTGATTAGTCACTCCAGAGAACACTTCTCTAGAGTACAGTGACGGCGTGCTTTACACCACTGCATCCGACGCTTTGCATTGCACTTGGTGATATAAGGCTTGGATGCAGCTGCTTGGCCATGGAAACCCATTCCATGAAGCTCTCTACACACTGTTGTTGTGCCAATCTGAAGGCCACACGGGAGGTCTGTAGCTTTTGACTCTGCAGACAGTTGGCGACTTCTGCACACTGTGCGCCTCAGCATCCGCTGACCCCGCTCTATCATTTTACGTGGCCAACCACTTCGTGGCTGAGTTGCTGTTGTTCCCACGTTGTTATACTACCAGTAACAGTTGACTGTGGAATATTTAGTAGCAAGGAAAAAATTGCCTACGTGCGGAATCCTAGGATGTCCATGTCACGCATCCTAGGAGGCAGAGGAACAAAGTATTGTGCAATTTCAATGCAGCGCAGCTCTTTTAGGCCTGAGACCTGCGGTGTGTCTGCATATGCGCAGTGTGAAACTATGAAGATCATTTTCTAGATGGCGGTACAGGAGCAAACCGCCACCTGGAGAACTATAGCTGGATGGAAGGCAACACTGGCCTCTTGAGACAATTCCCTGGTGCTGTTTTTAGTCTTTTTTAATGTGAATTTCTCATGCTGGGTGTCCCCTCCCTATGGAGGGTTCCAGAGTTGCCAGAACTAAGCCATTAGGCACAAATATTGCTCCTATTTGACTAGAGAAAGTTTGTGATCCAGCATGTCCTCTTTACTCCCACTCGATTACATGATCTCATTTCGTTTATTGTCTCTTCCAAGCAAGAAGGCTGTAAAGTGTTGCAAGAGTGTATGAGACAATTACATCAGACAGTTTCATCATCTCATTCAATGCTACTGCTCTAGGCGGCTAAAATGTTTGCTTTTTTTTTTCTCTTGTTAAAAAGAGGGGAGTGCATTTAAAACGGATTTTCAGTATCTGCTAGATACTGGAAAGGTAAATCTCCTGGTACATCCCATGAAATGCAGTTGTTGCACATTTGTCCTGGCCATTATGAAGAGGTTTTAAAGGTGCACATACACTGGCCGAATTTCAGCTGGTTTTTAATGTACTGGCCGAAATTCGCAGTGTGTAGGGCTGTCTGCTCCCTTTCAGCCGGCATTCCTCAATCAGCTGATCGAAAATCTTCATGCAATCAGAGCCAGCAACCAAAGAGCTGCCCGCTCTGATCAACTATTCTAACAGGTGCTGGCGGCACCTGTCAGAAAACAATGCAAACAGCGGCAATTCCTCGATCGACATAATGTTTTTGTGTTGGAGGAATCATGTCAATAAAATGTATTGAAAAAAAAAATTAAAAAAATCGGACATGCCCCATTTTTACAAACAATGCAATGCGGCACACAGATGTGAGCGGGCCAATACGTTTACATGTTTTAAGTGTAGAAATACAATGTGGCCACTAGATGGTGCCAAGGAGCATAACAAATAAGTATTTTCTGTGTTCCTTTAGCGCCATTTAGCGCCTGAAAATTATTTTGAAATCAACTCCTAACAATCTATCAGTGTTAACCTTGTCTGGTTTTGGTTACCAATCTGCTAACTTAAAAGGCTGAAATGGTTTGTTCTGTTGATTAATCATTTTTGACCAAACCAACGAGTGATGCCAATATCATCTGGGAAATTGGGAGGTTATAAGCTCAGTCATGATACAAACCTGTTATACAGCAACCGCCAATCGTAAAGAATGCCAGCTCGAATCTTCCACGAGTCTTGTTTGCCCCAGTAGGCAGAATAAACTCATCTGAGTCCTAAAGGATGACAAATTGTATGGAATCATATGACCATTTAGAAGCATAATTTTCTTTCAAGGCTTGACAATGAGTTTATGTCCTTATTTGTTCCAATTATATAATACATCCCTTACAGCAAAGCGCATGTAAAGAAGAGACTGAATACTTGGCTCTCCTGAAAATTGGGTGTAGAGAACAGTTTCACTGCTCTACATGGATAATGGAATGGAGATACTGGTTTCTTATTATGTGCAAAGGTTTACCCTTCTAGCTAGAGTTCTGTTCCTATGGCAGATAAAATTACTGTATTTCTACAATTAAAGCTGACGTTTAATCTGCCTCTTGGTTCAACAGGCAGACATGTTTGAAGTCCACCCTGTGTGATAACCATGGCTTCTTCCATAGATACAGTGGAGGGGTTGGTGTAGCCACCCAGGGACAAGAAATGTGTTAAGCTGGCCATACACTATGCAAATTTTGTTCAGTTCTTGATGAGCACTGTTGGCACCCATTCCAAAGGAATCCCTTTGTTTGAAAATCTTCAAACAAACAGAGCTGGCTGCTGGCTCTATTCAGGCATTCTGACAGTGGGAGACTCGTATATCGTTGGAGTAATCAGTTATATTTTCTTCGTCCACCCCGCAGCTTAAATTAAGAAAATATTACAGTATATGGGCAGCTTTACTGAGAGCAAGCCTGAAGGGAAAAAAAAAACACCTATACGTAGACACTACATCGAAGGATTGGTAAGCTGCAATATCATATTTTTTTTTGTGGGGGGGTCTAGCTATACTTTTAGGCTATGTTCACACCATGTCTGGACCAGAGCTACAAATGCAGTGCAGTGTGTTTTGCCGCGTTTAAGCTTAAAATGGGCTTACAGGTGCAGTCCATTGCATTTGTGAGGCATTTCCATGCGTTCCAGACCAGAGTAAATGAGACAAGCAGTCATTTATTTTTTTTGTCTGGACCAGAACGGACTGGGCTGCTGTGAACAAAGCCCAGAAATACTATAGGGGTGCTTTTCTGATCCGGGAACAAACTGTACTGGTCTGGACATGAACCCTCACACACTGCATACAGTTTCAAGTCATGACTTCTCTGGGATTCATAAAATCTCTTACCTGTGTTAAATACCTTGGATCCACGTTCAAATATGGAGAGAGTGGAGTCATTCCTGTTACTGGAGAGAAACAAAGCCAGACATTTTATCAATTTGGGATAGAGATAGATACTTTTTTTATAACCTTATAACAGTGTCTATAAAATGGACTACAAAGCCAGAACAAACAGGGCTAGCTGAATTGATCAAATTAACAGATTGTCCTGAAAACTGCTGATAAAATGAAAAATGGACACCTGGGAGGCAGACTTCCTTCAGAAATCCAGGAGGGCTTGCTCATGCCATAACCTGCATGTTTGGAATGCATTCCTGCATATGGGTTTGTTTGTTTTTGATGCTTTCTAGTGCATTTCATTTAAATTGATTTTGCATTGAGTTTAAGCTTGTTCTGGTGCACTCATATACATGTCTATGTGTTGTGCTACAGTGGCACAAAATTGAAAAACCATTGGAATTACTGTGTATGCATTTTTGGTTTGTATAAAAAAAAAAAAACACATCGGCCTGGAGATGGGGTGAACCAGCCCTGAACTCTAACGGGTGCTATTAGGGCTCATGTACAGGGGGTGTAATAACTCAGATCTAAGCTGGATTCTGCTGCCAGAAAGATCCAGCGTTCAAAGTGGCTTTCGTGGCGTACTTTACACTCATGTCTATGCACATACGGTGTTTAGAAGCATTATTGTATTCATTGATTCCAGACACTATGAATTTACACGCATAACCTATACCAGTGAACTCCTGTTGTAGATTTGGGGCATTTTTTATTTAGGTCCCTAAACGCTGCTCTACGTTATGGATCTTAACGCCTTATGTACACGAACACATCGTCCATTATAGAGTTGCGTGAAGAAAAAAAAAAAAAAAGCCGTATGGGTCGTTATTCTCCAGTCTGTGTGGATGAGGCCTTAGTATGATGAAAGACTTTGGAGAATGTAAGCAGACATATCGCAGCACTTCTCCATGGTCAACGATCACACACAGTGACTGATCCAGACTGGAGGTGACCCGATCCCCAGAATCGCATGACCCAGCTCTCCTACCCGGATACTCACACGGTACCCCGGCCAGGTCTGAATGGGGGTAGCCTGGTGAACCTCCGAAGATGCTGCCGAACCCTCCCCGGCCCCCGGGGTGGTTATTGGTATCCATTTTCTTAACAGCTCGGCCGCGTGTCTCCGAATCCCCTGCCTGACCTCCCCACAGCCGCCGTAAAAGAGATCGCTTCCGTTTAGGGCTCGCTCTTTTGCTCGCAATTTCCTTTTTTGCCGCAGCCGCACTTTACGACCTCGAAGCAAAGGCGTCCTTGTTGTCTGCTGGCACCTGTCGCAAGCAGCCAATCGGAGACGAGCCGCTCTCTGCTTAATGCGCATGTCAAGTAGTAAGCTCCGAAGCCGAGGTGTCCATCTTGTTTGCTGGCAACTGTCATTAGCAGCCAATAGGAGGCGAGATGTACTGCGCGCAGGCGCGAGTTCCGTAGTGAGCAGGCGCCGAGGGTTAGGGGGCGTCACCAAAGTTCGATCTGCCAGGAAAGCGCAGGGAGAGGCGGCGATTTGTTTGAGATTGTCAGTGGGTAAAGTACCGCCTGAGGATGAGAAAGCGATTCTCGGAGGCCTGTGCGAAGCAATGAGTGCGCTGTTTGGGGTGGACGTAACAGAAGAACCCCTTAGTAAAAGAGTCCGCGTCCAGGAGCCAGAAACAGTTGCCGAGGGTTTCGAAGCGGAAAGGGGATCCCCGGCAAGCCGGGGCCCCAGCAGCACCGTGGGGAACAGAGGTGAAGCCCTTTAACTGTGTGTAGACTATGTGGCAGCCCGTTCCTTGTACCAAGAGTTAGTCTGAGTGAAGAACACACGTGACATGCCTTTGTTTCCAAGGTGTCCAATCACGTGATCTACCTCAGTCGCTGGTGTCTAGAGTGTGCTCAGCTTCTCTGTGATTCTTATTGGTGGGCATGCTAAGGTGAACCTGTGGCCAGGCCATGGACATTCAAGTATTCACTTCATCCTTAACAAGTAGTTAACGAGCTTTAAAAGAGCCCTTCCAGACCTCTGTTGTTGTAGAACGGCGGCAGGCAATCTCAGCACTCCAGCTGTGTTGAAACTACAAATCCCATGAAGCATTGCAGGACTCCTTAAAGCAAAGGCATGATGGGATTTGTAGTTTCATCAGCTTTAATGCTAAGGTTGCTTACCCTTGACACTGTGGAGTAATTCATCCTGAAAGTTCAGAGGATTGCTGGCAGGGGGGTTCTAGTGGTCTCAGCAGCCCAGCTTCACCCTCTTCCTCTCCTAGGAGTTGTGCACCCTAATTAAAGTGCAACCGAAGCCAAAACTTTTTAGTTTTGGATAGAGTGGAAAGGGATTGAAACACTTGTCAGTCTTTTATCGCCGTTTGTGTGTGTGTGTGCCCATTAGGGTGATTGACCTCTTTCCCGGCCTCCTTATGTCTGCATATCGATGTCAGAGCTCTGCCTCTGACCCCGCCCAGGACAACCTTTTCCTGGCTAATAAAACCAGCATGAACCAGTGCGCCCTCCGTGTTCTGTTTTCTGACTTGCTCAGGCCATGGTCTGAAGATTCTGCTCGATTTTGAAACAACCCCCCCATGTTTCCCCACAGGTAGGGTGTAAACCTCCCTGATGCGGCCGTGCCCTTTTGTGCTGGGGCAACTTAAAGATTTGTTGGTTTTTCTTTAAGATGGCGACTGTGACGGCTGTTGTGTCCCCTCTTATTCTTTTCCCTGCAGACTGGACCCAGGTTGTGCACGTGTGCGGCTTTCTCGGTAACTAAGCAGCGGGCGGGAAGCTTTCAGTGGCTTCCTCCTGCTGTCGAGTCACGTGTGTGCTTCACTTCCTCTGATTAGCCGGTCTGAACCAGGCCTCTCCTCTGCTCTCTCTTATTTAGAGGCATTCGGCGGCCACTGTGATGCTTGTCAGTGTGGGGAGAGGAGGTGCTGCCTGTGCTCTGTCCGTTCTGACTGTTCTGTGAGTATTGAGCTGTGGTTCCCTTTTTTTTTTTTTTCTATTCTACGTGCTGCTTTTCTGGCTTAGACTTTCTTCTATATGTCTTAGGCTCTGTTTTTTTTGCCTGCTGAATCCTGGGGACACCACGACTACCATGAGTCCACCATCTCCAGATGTCACAATCCAGGTATGGGGAGGAACTTAGAAGAATGCTCGACTAGGAAGAATCAGTCTTTTGATCCAGCTTCTGACATTCCTGGTTTTCTTCCAGGGGAAGAAGCCCTAAGCCACACCACAGGAAAGCCTCCAGGAAGTCCTCTAAGCCACGCCATGGACATTCAGATAGTTCAGCCCCTCGTAGATCAGTGAGAAGTCCTCAGCAGGATAGAAGGTCGCGCTCCCCGCAGATGGCGAATGGAGGTTCATGTTAGTCTTTACGGGCATTGTCACAGGTCTCCTCACCCTCCAGCTGGACAGTTTTGGGCCTGTGGTGCTCAAGCGATGCCTGGGAAGCTGGTATGTGAGTCCTGTTTCAGAGACATGTCAGGTGGAAAGGAGTCTGAAGCAAGGAATGTTCAATTCTTTATTCAGGATGCCATGGATAAGATTGTGCAGCAGTTTTTGGAAGAAAAAAAGATCTCCAGGGGCCTCTAATTCAGGGTTCAATCGGAAGTCTCGATGGCCTTCATCCGCTCCTTTAGTGTCCCAGTTATCAGAGTCAGTTTCTGTGGAGTCCCAAGTGTTCAATTTTGCTCTACTCCCACCCGTTGTTAAAGCGGTAAAAGAAGCTATTAGTTGGGAAGAGGAGGCACAACCTCCAGAAGTGAAGGTTCGCAAATATTACCTATCGTTGAGCAAAGAACTGCCTTCCTTTCCATTGATGTTTGAAATCAAGGAAATTATTGAGGAAAAGTGGGCAAAACCGATAAGTGAGTTAGTGTGCAGAATAGAGTTTCCAAACTGTATCTCTTGAAGGCTTCTGACTCAGAGTTTTTGGACTCTTCCCCCTGAAGTGGATGCTGCTTTACAGCTGTTGGCGAGGCATGTGGCTCTTCCTCTTTACAATTCGGTGACATTCAGGGACTTGATGGGCCGCAGGGTGGACACAGATCTGAAGAGGATCTACACCACAGCAGGAGCAGCCTACAAGCCTTCCTTGGCGCTCACGTCTGTAGTCAGGACGCTTAGATCTTATATTGCGAATGTAGAATCGGCTTTGAAATCAGAAGTGGACCGAAGTTCTGTTACTTCCTAGGAAGAATTAAAGTTGTCTGCAGAGTTTGTTGTGGAGGCCGCAGTGGATATGGTCAGATTTTCGGCATGAGGTAATGTCCTTATCAATCACAACTAGATGGGCTTTAGGGTTGAAGCATTGGTTAACGGATGCTGCATCAAAGAAAGGTCTTTGTTCCATCCCTTTCTCAGGAACATCTCGATTGGGCAAGATTCCAATTTTGTTTTCTTCAGCAGTGGAGCCTATTTTTCTTCCCGAGATGGTGAGAAACTCTCTTCGGTGGTGGACTTCCAGGGGCAGGTCCCTAAAAACTGGAGACTTGATCATTGTTACTTCAGATGTCAGTCTCCAGGGTTGGGGGGCACACTTGCAGAGGATTCAGGTGCGAGGATGTTGACAGAGCTGTTGGCAGCCTTCGAGGCTCTTAAGTCTTTTCGGTCTCTCGCCTCGGCCAACGGGTCAAGATGCTTCTGGACAACAGAACAGCAGTAGCATATCTGGCCCGTCAAGGGGGCCGATGCCGTACTTATGTAGCATAGATGATTTTTCAGTGGGCAGAGGCCAACCTTCTGGACTTGAAAGCGCCATATCTCCTGGGTGCCCAGAATTCATTGGTAGACTTGCTGTGCCATAATTTTGTCAGTGATGGAGAATGGTGGCTGAACAGCAAGTATTTTTCACTGATTTTTGCAGTTTGCGGCGCTCCGAAAGTAGACCTTATGGCGACCCCATCGAATGCTCGGTGTCAATGTTTCTTTTCCCGATTCCAGTGCCCCAAGTGATAGGGCAGGATGCCCTTTGGTTTCCATGGAACTTCTCTTTCACCTATGTGTTTCCCCCTGTTGTCCTCATTCCTCGGGTGTTGCAGAAGGTTCAGCGGGAGGGGGTCCATGCCATTGCCATTCTCCCATGTTGGCCGAGGAGGCTCTGGTTTCCGCTCCTGCAACTCCTTTCAAGCGAACCTCCAATTCTTCCTGTGAACGAAGAACTATCTCAGGGCCAGATCCTTCATCCGAATTTGAAAAGGCTAAATTTGATGGCCCGGCGATTTGAATGGCAACCGTTAGAGGCTCTAGGTTCATCCTTTGCGGTCTGGTAAAATCTCACAAGCCTTCCTCTAAGTCGGCATACTTCTGAATTTGGAGGAAGTTCTTTGAGCTCGGACGGAAAGGAGGATTTGATCCCCGGAAACCGGGGACGGCAAATGTTTTGCTGTTTGTACAGAAAGGTCTTGATTTGGGTCTCAGTTGTCGTACCCTTAAGATGTATATTTCAGCCTTAACAGCCTTAATAGGGGTCCAATGGTCTGTTGATCCCTTGATTTCGAGGTTTATGAAGGGAACCATGAACATATGGCCTTCTTAAGAACAGGGTGCCAAAGTTTTGCCTCTTTTTTGACTTTTTTAAAGGCTCATGGATCCACCTTTTATTTCCCTCAGATTCTTGCTCTATATGGCATCTCACTCTGTAGATGGGGTTCCTCACTGCGATTGTTTCAGCAAGGAGGGTTTCTGAAATTGCTGCTTTTTCCTCTAAAGAGCTCTTTTGCACGTTCTATGAAGATAAGGTGATGCTTTGTCCTATCCCTGATTTTTTTACCAAAAGTTACTTAAGAGTTCCACCTGAACTGGGAGACTGTTCTAGAAGCCCTATCCTCCCCGAAACTGGTAGCGGGCTTTACTCGATGGGAGAGGTTGGATCTAGTTGGGCTCCTGCCGGTGTTTCTGGAGAGAACAGAGGAGTTCAGGAAGAATGCACTGTTTTTCCTTCAGGCCCAGGGAAGGGTAATGTTGCAAGACCAAGGGTGAACTCCTCTTGGATAGTCAAGGCAATACAAGCAGCCTACTCGGCGGCTGGGCTTTCTTCCCCTGTAGGATTAGGGGGCATTCAACAATAGGGATGGTGCTTTCTGGGCGGCGTACTCAAAGGTGTCCTCGAAAGTGGAGTGTAAATTGGCATGTTGGAAGTCGGTGAACACCTTTTTATTCGGCATTACCGTCTGGACGTTTCTTCTTCAGCTGGCGCGTTTGGGGCAGCAGCTGGCGCGTTTGGGGCAGCAGTTCTATTGGCTGGTTTTCACAATTATTAAAGTGTTCCTTTTTTTTTCCTGGCATATTATTCCAGTGTTCTTGAGTTTATTTCGATTTCCACCCTACTCTGGGGTAGTTATGTCCCATGGGTATGTTGACATGAGGAGGCTAGGAATTACGGAAAATTGTTCTTATACTTATTGTAATTTTCCTTTCCTGGCCTATCCACATGTCAGCATAATTTTACCCTCACTGAAGTGTCAGAAGGGAACATGAAGGGGAACGGCTGGTTCATGTTGATTTTTATTAGCCAGGAAAAGGTTGCAACCTCAGCATTCCAGCTGTGGTGAAACTACAAATCCCATCATGCCTCTGCTTTAGGGAGACCTGCAATGCTTCATGGGATTTGTAGTTTCAACACAGCTGGAGTGCTGAGATTGCCTGCCCCCGCTCTACAACAACAGAGGTCTGTAAGAGCTTCTTTAAAGCTCAATAACTGCTTGTTAAGGATCATGTGAGTATGCTGACATGAGGCTAGGCCAAGAAAGGAAAATTACGGTAAGTATGAGAAGAATTTTCCCTAGTTTATCCTAGTGAAAGGTAAAACTGAAAGTGAAAGCAAATCCTACATTTTAGGTTGCCATCAGAACAGGAATAGATGAGACATCTTCCAATGGTGGCGATGCTGACTACCAGTAATTTACCTTGCTTTGGAGGGATTTCCTGTTGTGAATATTGTAGAGGAAGTAAAGAGAGAGTTTCACTGTTGCCGTGAGTTTCACTCCACAGCATTGTTTCCTGCTCTGCCTGGTGTTTTGCCTCCTGCACCTGCTTCCTGTGTCTATTTTGCAACTTCCTCCTTTCTCCTGTGCTTTCCCTCTGCTGTTCCTGTGGGTGCACCTGTTCACACATGTTCCCTGCGTCTTCCCTCCAGTGGACATTTTCTACATCTGGTATCCTGTGTCTCTTCTAGTGTGCTGTGTTCCCCGAGTACCCACTGACCCCACTAGGTGTGTCGGAGAGATGCAACCTGGGAGTTCCCCCGCGGCTCAACATCCACGCCATCAGTGGCTCTGGTGAAGACAAGGCGGCTCCTTAGATCCTGTGACTTTGGCACACCTACGTTTGTTGTGCGGTCACACTGTCCCTGCATCTTCAGAGACCTGTATCCCTGCACCTTCCGTTTTCAGTCGCAATACACTGATCCGCAAGACCCGGGGTTTACAATTCCCGGTGCTCCAGTTCTCTGTACGCGACAGGAAATTTCCAGTTAAACTTAAAGGGTACAGTATTTCTCGGAATCTTCTAGGACAGCAAGCCTACTTCCCCATGTTTCTAAGTGTTTTTTTTCTTTTAATATTTCTTTCCCCTGTGCACTGGTGGAGGCAGCATACTTTCACTTTCACTGAAGGACAAGGAGGGTGGGGGCAGGAGGGTTTGTTTTTTTGCTCTTCATGTTTTCTCCAGTCACCTTCCAGGACAGCATTAGAGAGATAGGCTCCTCCCACCGGAAACAGGAAACATATCACCCACACCAAGAATAAAAATCTCTCTAATGCTGAGAAAGAGAAAATTGGAGTTACGTACCTGGTAACTCTGTTTCTAGGAACCTTCCAGGACAGCAGGGATTCCCACCCGGTTATTGGTGTGGCTTGCTGTGTGTTGCCGTACTTTCGGAGTTGACATATATTGTTATACATATGTATAATTCTGTAGATGTACATCTTTAAGGGGGTAGTGATGTGGTATCCTTCAGTTCTTATGTTTTAACTGAAGTGTGCTAGGCTGGGACTCTTTTTTTTTTTTTTTTTTTTTCTAGTTGTGGGTTATGTGTTTCCGGGGGGAGGAGCCTATCTCTATAATGCTGTCCTGGAAGGTTCCTAGAAACAGAGTTACCAGGTACGTAACTCCAATTTTTCCTGCAAGAGTCCATCATCTCTCAGGCTGCTGTTCTAGAGGATTTCTAGAACTACTGATACCGGTAAGTCTAACTGGGGAATTTTATTGAGCAATAACTAACATTCATAACATTATTTTCATCAAGCTGGTGTCTATCACAAATACTGTACATCTAAAAACAAAACAAAGTAACATGAAACAAATTCTAAGGGTTTTTTTATTTTTTTTGTTTTTTTTTTAATTTTCCAGTTAAATTTCTTTTACTCCATATTTAAAAAAAAAAAAACGAAGGTTCAATATATGGTGCACTTATGATATTGCTACAGAACGTTATGCATTTTTAGAATGGAGTGCATAGTGGAAGATGTTTGACTTCAGGCTGTCATTCTGTCTTAGTTTGAACTTGGGTGTACTTAGGATTCAGGTTAGGGTCCATTCACACCATATACGTTTCTTAACACATAACCCACAAAAACTAAATTCAAAGAGGCCAATTAACACCAGCGTGTTCCATTGCGAAGTGTTGCGGTGCTCTGCAAAAAAGTAGAGCATGCTCTCCTTTTTTCATCACAACCCTCAACACAATGTGCACAAACGTGCATCAGCGCAATACAATATGAAAAGTAAAAGGACGTGACTTCACAGGGGGAAAAAAAAGCAATTCTACACAAAGTGCATCAAACGCATTAAAACATGTGCTGCAAACTCTGCTCAGTGCAATGCAACTGTGTTAGCGCACTGGTTGTGGTGTGAATAGACCTTAACTGGATCACCTTTTCTGATCGTTTGTTATAAAGAGATCGAGATCTAATTTATTAGTTTGGTTGCCTGCCTTTGTGCCTTTGCAAATCACATATGTCCTTCTTGCAATATAATGTTCAACACTGTACTCCATACATGATTTAGGCCTTAAAGAAGTTTATACACTAACAATATTATGTTTGCTTTGTGTTTTTTTTTTTGTCTCCCTTTTTTATATCCCAATATTGTATTTGTAGTTATCACTTGCATTGAGTGGTGCTGTGTAAATTGATATATTACCATGTGTTCCTAAGTCATGTTTCCCTGTCTATCTTCCAGCTGTATTCCCTTTGGTTTATAGGGGGCGATGCCACTGTCATTTGGAGGTTTATATTATCGGTAGTGCTCTCTTTGTTGGTTTCCACAGCACTTTTATATATTACAGCATTTACAGCAATTTTTGCTCCAGGGTCTACAAAATGGTGTAACCTGCAGCATCTAGTAACATTTTTATCTGAATAGCTTTGAGCTGAGAGAAAATATAAAGGCTGCTATTGCTGACTTTTTTTTTTTTTTTTCTCCTTCTGAAAATGCTAGCTCCCCGGCTATTATGCGCATATAATGGTCTTAGTAATTCCTTAATATTGTCTGTCACAGTGACAACCCCTGGGAGATGATACGGGCTCACCCGAGGCACGGAATCTAAGCACCAACCGGTTTTCACCTGAGTTTCTGATGGTGGAGATGGGTTTCACTACTTTCTGGTGCTAGTTTGTGCCCCCAAGGATTGCCCCACCAAGGGATGAGCAGGACAGGTGGGCTCCAATGAGGAGACAGTAATCTGGAGCGTGATCATGAAAAGGTAGAGATCCTGACAAAAGAGCCAGAGGATGGTGTAGGTCAGCAGTCGGTAGGTAGGGAACAAGGTCAGGCAACAAGAGGATAGTCGGATCTAGGCAGGGGTCAAGACAGGTGGCTAACAGAGAATGGTCAGACGGTCCAGGTCGGCAGTAATTAGTCAATTGACAAGATGGGATCGTAGTCGCGTTCAGGCAGCAGATCAGGGCAGGCAGCGAGCCAAGAGAGATCAGACAGTCCTGGTCAGCAACAGGAAACAAACAACAAGAACACAAGTTCTTGTACTCACAGAACACTGGCTTGAAGACACTGCACCAGCCCCTCGCAGAGCTGGTGCTTAAATACCTGTCTGAATAGAAATGACATGCCTGGCTCCCTTAAAGGCACTTTGGATGTTCAGGTCCAAATTTTATGACTATCATTGGATTTACTGGCCTGGATGCTTTAAGGGCCATTAGAAGTAATGGCAGGTCTCCTGTGATTTACTATTAGAGGTACTGGTGGGTCTTTCAGCAAGTCCTGGCAGGCATTCTCAATGAATGTAAAAACCTGTCAGGCACTCTGTGAGTACCATAATGCTGTCCTGGAAGAAGTATACAAATAAGGAGTCCTGGCTTGACTGGATGTATGCATATTACATGTCAGTAAGTCAAAGTACTAAAGCCAGAGGATTAGTATGGAAGCCAGGCAGCTAACATTTGTATGAGGAGGTTAGCAATGGCAGCTTCCATATTCCTCTTCACATTGACATGACAAACAGTGTCATGTCAAATTGCATCACCTGTCGTCTTATAGATTTATTTATTGTTCAATCCTATGTAGAAAGTGTCTATGCGATATTCCGATTTATCCTGTGCCTTTACTATATTTAGTTATCCTTGTAACATTTGATTCATATGTGTTTGTAAATGGGTGGATAAGTTTGCAACTTCAGAATTCCTGTGTTTTGACCTTGGTTTGTGAAGACAACTCCTCCAACGGGTTTACGATGTAATTGACCTTTGCCATCCGTTCAGTCATCCATTCAGTGTTATTTCAAGGCTTACTTCCTTAAACCCATTTTCCATGTCTTCTGTGGCTTTTTGTGTTCAGAAGTTAAATACATTCAATGTGAAGACTCTCAGTGTGTTGCTGTTAAGCACATTTCCATTAAAGAATTTCTATTTCATGTAATGAACTATTTTTCTATGTTTCACAGTTCTCAAACAGAGAACCCTCCATTCCTGGTTTGGACATAAAGGAAGAAGAGAAGAACATAAAAGGTAATTTTTTAGCAACCAGAGACATCATGAGCTTTTGCTTAATATAACCGTAATATGCCAGTATGACGTAATATTGTGCAGTCTTTTCATTGCTTTTTAGATAAACCTTTAAAAGAGATCAATGATGTTCATCTTACCAATATGTGTTTCATGTTTTAAAAATCTTGTTTTCTATTCATCATTTTTAGTTGTTAATATTCATGAGACATGCATTTGGTTTATATTATGTAATTGGTTATTTTTCTACGCTTCACAGTTCTCAAAAAGAAAACCCTCCATTCTGGGTTTGTCCATACATACGTGTCTGGGAGACCAGCAGAAAATCCCTTAGCTGGATTCTCACACGCATGTCGGGCACGGCCATTATGCTTTTTGATGTCTCGGTTGGCTTTAACTCGGTGGTCATTCACCTTTTGCTAGGTTCAGTAGCTATTCCAGTGTAATATTTAGCAGAAGGAAGTAAATTTGTTTTGTCTAAAGCAGAATGAAGCTGTCTTGACCGTGAAAGGTGATAAGGCAGTGAGGTGATTCAACTTTCCATCATCTAGCAAACATTGTTGTATCAGTTTTGGGTTGGATTTTGTCTTAACAGTTGTGTACTTAAAACATATTGGGTTCGTTTAGTAGTTGCAACTAATTAAAATGCATTTTGTTCTGTTCAAACTTTATTTCACTTTTATCATGTTTGCACTTACCCAGAATGCCCCCAGAAATGTGATTTTATACTTGTGTAATTATCTTGCTGCTTTTCCGGAAGTTTGCATATTCAGTAGTTTGAAGTCAAATTACATGCATTTACTGTAGTCACTCAACATAGATGAAGTTGTCAACAAAACAACTTTTCCTTGTGGTGTGGAGAAGGATTAGAACCTCTATTAGATTTATATTGCTGTTGGCATCCCTCCTGGGGAGATCTCTCTGCACGCTTTCATCAGGGCACCCTATCTCGAAAAGTCAGTCTTTCCCCCGCAAATGTGACATTTCTTTAGTTGGGGAACTGACATTGATTTAAAAAGACAATTTATTTTAATCACTCCCTTTTCTATTCTTAAAACAAAAACAACACGTTTTGGCTTCCAGCTGGCCATCTACATTTCTAGTTTTAGGCGCAGGGAGCGCAGACTTAGGAATAAAGATGGTGCAGCTACCTTACATTGCTGCAGCCTCTGCATCATGGATCAAGGTGAACAATTGCCAGTGGTGATTGCAGGCATCAGTGGCAACAGCTTTTTACAGGTAAGCAGATACTTATGTTGGGGTTTGTTAGTCCTTCTCTCACACTTTTTCTGCTGGACTCTTGGGCCTTCTCTATGGCTTCTTGTAATCCTTTCTGGGCACATTTGAGCATGGAGCTTGAGGTTTGTGCTTTATTTCAGACCCAAGTTCTGGATAAGTCTGAGCCTCCTCCTCTAGTACCTAAAAAGAGATTTGCTTCATGTATTATGTTAAGAACAGTTGTGTCCAACCGTTGTCAGAAATGTATAGAGAAAATAGTTATATAGTCAGGTTGAAAAAGACACATGCCCATCGAGTTCAACCTATAGAGATATGAAAAAGAAAAGCCTAAACAGAACACTATGCCCACAATTACCCACTGTTGATCCAGAGGAAGGCAAAAACCCCATTAAAGCATGGTTCAGTTTGCTCCAACAGGGGGAAAAAAATTCTTCCTGATCCCATAAGGCAATCGGATATTCCCTGGATCAACAATCTCTGATGCTTAATATACCTATATCTCAATATCCAGTAATATTCTGTGCATTTAGGAATACATCCAGATTTTTTTTTTTAAACAATTAACTGAGCTAGCTAGAACCAGGTCCTGGGGGAGTCTATTCCACATTTTCACAGCTCTAACTGTGACGAATCCTTTCCGTATGCAAAGGTTAAACCTCTCTTCCTCCAGACGCAAAGAGTGCCCCCGTTGTCCTTTGCAGTGACCTTAAAGTGAATAATTTGGCACCAAGCTCACTATATGGACCATTTATGTATTTAAACATGGTGATCATGTCCCTCCTTAATCGCCTCTTCTCCAGAGAGAACAAATTCAGGTTAGCTAATCTTTCCTCATAGCTGAGCTCCTCCATGCCTCTTATGAGTTTAGTCACCTTTCGCTGCACTTTTTCCAGTTCCACAACATCCTTTTTGAGAACTGGTGCCCAAAACTGAACTGCATATTCCAGATGAGGTCTTACTAATGCTTTGCACAGGGGCAGGATTATGTCTATATCTCTGGAGTCTAGACCCCTTTTAATACAAGAAAGTATTTTGCTTGCTTTATAAACTGCAGCTTGACATTGCTTGCTATTTATTGAGTCTATGATCTACCAGAACGCCCAGATCTGTCTCCATCATTGACTCCCACAAACATACTCCCCCTAGAGCATAGGATGCATGCATGTTTTTAGTCCCCAAGTGCATAACTTTTTACATTTATCAACATTAAATAATTTGCCAAATAGATGCCCAATCACACCGTGCATTCAGATCTGCTTGTAGGTTGGAGACGTCCTGTGAGGACTGTATTCCTCTATATAACTTGGTGTCATCTGCAAATACAGAAATAGCATAGGGGATGCATTTTGGGTCCGGAAACGGTCTGGTCTGGAGGTAATCTGGATGTGGTGTGAATGGACCCTAAAAAGATAATCTTTCTCAGGTATATGGTAGATTCTGTGATGCAAAAGATTTATGTATCAAAAGAAAATTGACTTCGGATACAGTAGCTTTTCAAAACAACATTCACGTCTCCACCTGCATGGTAGTGTCTTTAGTGGCTCTGGTGTCCTCTTCCGTCCCAGAAATCTAGTGGGCGAAATCCCACTTGGGGACTCTCCTGTCCTTTCTGCTGAATATATAGGGCCAGAACCCGGCATCCTTAGACAACCAAGTTTGTCCTTCCTTTGAGAGTAAAAAGCTCTCTTTGGTGGTGGAGGGAAAGGCCAAATCTCTTGGAGGGTCTTTGATATTTCCTGATGACTCACCATCTGGAAGTAAAAGTTGCCAAGGCAACTGGTCCAAGGCCAAGTCTAAGAAGTTCTCCAACTGGAGAGGTTAGAGCAGTATGGGAAACACGGCAGGCTCCTTCTAAGAGATCAACATCGATAAATTCTGTCAGACAATTTTACCACAGTGGCATACCTAATTAAGCAGAGGCGCACTTGCGGCCTTCCATTATGCCATCTGGCAAACAGTATTTATGCTTGAGAAAAACATATCTTCTATCTCTTTTGGTAGTCCACCTCAAAGAGACCCGTATAGAGAAACTTTACCCATGTCTTCAAAATAATAACAAAGGCACCTTTTAGAAATGCTTAGTAATGGCAATCTACGAACACATACTTATAGATAATTGAAGGCTTTGTATTCTTTGCATATCTTTATTTTTTTCCTCTCCATTCTTCTCACAGTGGCCATTTGTACTAAGGACACATAAATCCATCTTTACTTCCTGGAACTCTGGCCCATGTGACTAGGACATGTGACCATACACCATCTCAGGGGAGGAAAATTAGAGATTTTCCAGCAAAGCTCTACTGCTGTAATCTTCTTCTAAACACTTGGGCACATTTACATAACTTTTGCCAAAGAGAACCAGGAAGTAGAAAATAAGAAATTTTGTAATTTAAAATGAAGATATGTGTAACTAATAAATGTAAGGTGTTTTCATATCAGCATGCAGAGATGCATGCTGATGTGATTTTTAGCCACTTTATTGTTTAGCAGATTACTTGAGTTGTTAACAGGTGTAGGGATTAGAATGGATTCTTCCCAGCGATAAATCTGTTACAAACCAGTGAATGCAAAAGTAGGAACTTTCTCCCTCTGAACAAGGCAGTATCTGTTCTTGGAATTGTTGCATTGGCTTAACCTTGGCATTAGTCTAAAGGAGAAAATGGCATATAAAAAGTGAAATGCCTTTTTTATATGCATTTTTCTCCTTTAGACTCATAACACTTGTTACCTAGTTGATGAGGTTGGAAAAAGACACAGGGCCATCCAGCTCAACCTATGAAACTGTTGAGGGTAAATACTGCTTCAATTAAAGTGTGCTCCTTTTTTGGCCAAAAGGCCATGTTTTTTTTTACCCTGCTTCTACTCTGATGCTGCAATCCAGAGATTATATTTTTCTTTCAGAGCCCAATCTTTTACCCTCAGGTGGAAACTCTAAAGGTGGCAGCTTGGTAGCTAAAAAAAAGCTGTAAAAATGTAAAGGTCCATCAGGATAAAAACCCACCAGAGCTACTTATGGAAAAGTCTGGGAGTTTTTTTTTCCCCTGTCTGCTGCCAAGACGAGTTGTCCATTGGAATTCCTTCCATCTAGGAATTTGTTTAGGATGGAGCAGATAAAGGTTGCGCTGTAAATATACTCAAAGTGCAGATGACTGCATTCAGCATCCGTTTTAGACATAAGGTTAGCTATTATTATTATTATTATTATTATTACATAGTATTTATATCTCGCCAACAGTTTGCGCAGCGCTTTACAATATAAGGAAGACATTACAGTTACAATACAATTCAAGACAAGATGGTAAGGAGGGCCCTGCCCCTGAGGGCTTACAATCCTAGAACCTCTTGCTACCAGGTTCTTTTAATACTCTTTCAAGATCTCAAACATTGTGTGTTGCAATGCCTTTTAAGAAGTCAGAGTTTTTTGCCTTGCGAGCTGGCAATGTGAAAGGATCATAAGCCTCCAGAAATTCCATTGCTCATTAAATTAAATAGGCCATCCAAGAAGCATACTGAGCCATGGGAAGAAATGCCATTTTTCTCTTAAGGCTCCCTCAACAAGAGCTTTGTCTGCCTCACAGGCTGGTGCCACTCGAGACTAAATAGGCCAACAAGCTACAGGGTCAAATTATTCTATGTACTTCTGACACTAAAAACTTCATCTTCTGTCCATTCAAGGTTAGTCCTTTTGGATGCAATATTTTATGGCCCTTTTGACCCTCCCTAACCTGGTACTTTCTTGTTTCAGAGTTAGACTTACCTGTAACTCTATTTCCAGGAGTCTTCCAGTACAGAAGGCATTCCCCCTCCTATAATGTCTGTTTTGTTCTTTCAGCTAAGTTTGTGATTCTTGGACAAATACTGGATAACTGCCTCCAAGGACTTGAGTCCGGCTCTCTCAGGTGCTGTCCTGGAAAATTCCTTAAAATAGAAAATTAGTTATCAGTAAGTCTATCTTGCCTGCAATGCAGTGTCCTTGCCACTTCTGGTGCTCTGAAAAGAAAGCCCATTTCTAATTCCATCAATCCACCATGTAATGATGAGAATACAAACCACAGGCTCCTAATGCTGTCCGTAGCGTTATCACCCTGCTGTCCTCTCAACTGCTTTGGGACTGAAGGACGCTGTGCCTATTCACAGTTGACCTGCAGGGTTCTGTTATCAGCTTGTGACACGGGTAGTAATGCCTCCTGACCTCCTCTGAAGTGTGCAATTAGACATGGAAGCTGGCAAAAGGAAGGGATAAAAATGGTATAGGCTGCGTATTTATTTTTTTAAATTGAAATTCAGATGCCATGAAAAAGATGTGCCTGCTCTAGTTCCTGAATAATTGCAAACATATTAGTCTACATAATCATTAAACAGCTTTCTATTCCTTTATTACATTTTGTGTTTTGCCTGAAACTTTCCTTTAACTTAGAGAAAATCCTACTTACCTAATTGGACACAAGATGGAGAGTGTAAATGGCTTGGCCTCCATCACACCTCCTGAATGTTTTACTGTGAAGGATTGACATTTGATGTAGCCTAACTAAGCTGTTATGTTTATTTGGTGGTTTAACCTCTTCAATCACAGAACATTTTAATTTTGGTGGTTTTTCTCTTTAACCCGTCTATTTTCATTATATAGGTAATATTTAAACAGGGAACATTAGGGGGAAAAAAAAAATTTTTTTTGGTTCTAACCCCCCGTTACATTTTACACTATCATTTAAACTTTTGGAATCGCTTATAATTTTTTAAAGCATCGATGATATCTGGGTTCAAATTCAACATTTTATTTCAGCCATTTCTCCAGTATCCCAATGGTATACACTTATTTCATGCTTAATCAATCATTTTTAATAATTGGTTATTCAATAGATTTTTTAAAATTGTTTTAGCACCACAGAAACCATTTATTTTGTTGAGCAAGTAAATTCTTTCCTTGGGTTGCAAGGTATTGACTTTACTAAAGATCAAGAAGAGGAATTGCTGGAAGTTGAAAATCCTTGTTTAAGTCCCAAGGGGATCCAGTGCTCATAGCATAGCAAATCTGTGCAGTGGCTCTTGAGCCAGTGTGGTCAACTGCATAACCATCTTCCCCCTGTTGCTGTCTGACCACACTGCTCACAAGCAGACAAATAGTTCTGACTGACAGACACACAGAGGAGAGGGGTCATGATGGACAGTGCACACAATCCCTGCATCCTCTGAAAGCTAGAAGGAATGTCTGCAACCCTAATATCTAACCTTACAGTCTGGTAACTTCTCTGCCACTTTTTTGTACTGACAGAAAGACTGAGCCCAGACCTGCCCAGTAAGTAACAGCTTGTGTTGTTTTGAATGTGCACTATCATTTACAATAACACAAGCCAGCTAGTACTTATCCCCTGAATAGCTGATAGGTGGTTCTAAGCTCAGTTGTCTTGAGAGACTAGATAGTAGCTGGCAATGTGTTGTGGGCTTGAAAGTGGCAGAGGCGACACAGGGCTGCAAGATTAGATGGATGTATGTAAAATAGAGGGGGAGGTGGCTTCAGTGCTGGCTGTAGCTTACCCTCAGGAACACCCATTAAGTTTCAGCCTGGGGAGCTACAAAACCACTGCACAGATCTGAACAGTACTTTGTTCTATGTGCACTAGATCCCCTGTGGGATTTAACGATGCTTGTCAACTTCTGGCGTTTGTCAGGACCAGCTGTGGACGCACGCTGTCAGAACAAATAGTGACAAGTTGTTTCACCTATAGCAGCCGCCGTTCCCATAAGGCAAGTACGCCTACCGGTACTTGGATGCCCCCAGGACTTAAACTATATGTTCTGATCAGGTGAAGCCACAGGCTGGCCAGAGGTGCTGAACCGAGGTACGGACAGAAGAAGAAAGACACTTCAGAGAGTTGGAGTCAAAGGCTGGCGGCTGGAAAGCGTAATCCGTGCACAACCTGAGGTCAGGGGTGGCAGAAAGCAAAGCGTAATCCAGGGACAGGCCAAGGTCAGATCTGAAGACTAACAAGATTTCCAGACACAGGATTTGCAGGGACAGCACACGGCTCGTAAAGCAAGAACTATCACAAGCACTGGGGAACAGGCTGATGATGCTTAAATAAGGTGCCACCAGCAACAAGGCCAATCCCAGAGCAGGAGGTGTGTGGTTAGATTAATTAAGCCACAGCTGACTAGTGCTGCAGCCAGTGAGACGCAGGATGATTAACCCTTGCCAGTCAGGGCTGCAGCCAGCAATACTGTGTGTGCCAGTGGAGTAGCACATGTGTCAGTGCTTACTTACCCCGCTGGTCCTGCAGCATTGTATCTTCTGCAAGTGACATCCTGTATTTGGCAGAAGTATGCAGTCACTGCCTGTGCAGACATTGACATCTGTTGACATTTTAGCACACATGCTCATTTTCATTTTGTGAAGAACATACAAGATCTACTGGCACACTGCAGAAACCCAGGAAGAGATAAGAGTGTGGTTTATTCTGCTAACCAGCCTCCAAATTGCTATGGTGCCCTTATTAGATAATTATTGTTCAACCCAACAGACATGTATGAACATCCTTGGCTGACTTCTCTTGACATGGTACTACACCTATAGATTTTCTATAGATTTTTTTTTCTATCAGCCTATGGTCAGATGGAAAAAGTGCAACAGATTCTTCCATCTACGCTAAACTGTGTGACTGTAGGAATCTCCCACTGGGCCAAGCTTCAGTATCTTGCTAGTCGGCTCTGCTGGCTGTCAAAATACCTGAACAATGCCTGCCTCCAATCAGATTGTTGAGGTATTTTGACAGCCAGCGGGCGGAGCCAACTAGCAAGATATTGAAGCTTGTCCCAGGGGGAGATTCCTCCATCCACACAGCTTAGCGTAGGTGGAGGAATCTGTTGCACTTTTTCCATCTGGCCATAGAAAATCTGCAGATATGTAGGTGTATGGACACCAGTCAGTTGGCCAATTTGTTTTGCCACAGCTGACTGCTGCTCTTAACCCAGGAATAAACAACTCGTACATACCTGCATATTTATACACGTACCTTTTTTGGATAAAATAAATTACCATAATCGAATTTCCATGTTGCTCTTTGCGTTTACAGCGAGTATGGTCTGGGGAAAAATCAAACTTTATTTTTCTGTCTATTGTGTTCTATAGATTGCTTTCTCATTCAAGGTTAGCTTGTTATGGATTTTGCCACAAGATGTCATTTTAATTATAGTAGAGATCTTAAGGGTTGTTCCGAGACCACTGTGTCCTTCTTTTAATGAGGTATGCATTTCAAATAGCAGAAGGGACAGCATGGAGTTTTTTTTTTTGTAAGTGTATGTTCTGCAGAACTCACTCTGTTGAGAATCCTGTTGCGGTATTTTAGCATGCCAAATTGTAGCTAACATTGCCTGTTTACCGTTTAGAAGTGCTTATGTTGTAAAAGATATATATATACTTTATGGAGGTAACCCGCAGTGTGAGAAACGTTTCTGGGATTGCAGGGTTAAGTTTTATAAAATGTTTTATTGTTCTACAGGTGTCATAGCAAAAGCAGCCACATATCTGTGAAGATGAGCTCAGATGAAAAGACCAGCGTCTATCAGCAAAGTAATATAATACAAGAAAATCAGGTTGAGAGTGTTACCACTTTAAGTATGGGAAATCAATCTGAAGATCATAACTTGAACAGTTCAGAAAATGACAATAGACATAATTCAGGCAATGATACGATATCTGTAGACAAGGAAAGAAACGTGGAAACAAAAGCTTCTCCCAGCCTCCCCCTCACGAGTAACCCTACATCTCCAATTTCTGATGCATCGCCAAATTGCACAATAGACAATGTACCAGAAAGTCCTCTGTCAGAACAAGGCGGTGGAGACTCTTCAAGTCTGCAAGACACTGAGCCAAATGTGAGTGAAGATATTCAATCTTCGGAAGGCATGGAAAGTGAACCAGAGACGTCTGTTGAAGGGGCTAAGAAGAGTGATCATGATTCTAAGGCTGACCACTACACTGTACCTCAATCAGGGGATGATTTGGAAAAGACCAAGGGTGTTCTAAAGTCAGAATCAGAGCATGCATCTAGTGCTAGACAGCACAGTGAAGAACAGGTGACTTGTATGGAAGAAGTTACTAAAATGCCTGAAGGTGGTACAACAGGAGGTATAGTCTCCAATGAATGTAAAGCAAAAAATAGTGCAAGCCAGAGAATTGCCAAAGTGTCTGCTCATCTCTTTCCAGAGAGCAATGAAGAACAAACACGGTAGTGTATTCTGGATTTTTCTATATTTACAGGCCTGGCAGCATGATAGCAATATGTATTTCCATCGGATTGTATCCAATATATGAAAACCACATGAGTTTATGCCTGCAGTACCTTTTTGTGGCACTTTAAAGGGGAATGTAGGTCAAGGAAAAACATGCTTGCGAGCTTTCATATGTTATGATAGGTGCAACTGGATAGTTTATTGAAAAAGGAAACTGCTAAAAATATAAAGGTTACCATTGCTGACCATCTTCAGAAAATGCTTGTTTCTTGTCTGTCTTTCTAATCCAGGGGCTTTAGTATTTTGAAATGCTGTCCTGTGACAAGTGTTCAGATCAAGATTTCTAATTTATATACTTAGCCAAGTAAGCAGCCAATGAAGGATCTTCAGCCCAAAGTTTTTTGTCTTGGATGGAGATGTAAGGGTTAGAACCCAGTCTAGTATTTGTTGTTTGTGGCTACCAGGGAGAGATTTTTCTCTTAAAATCTGTTGTCACTAATACTTAGAGCGAGTGAATTTCCAACATGAACACAATGGGGAGAGCAAGGGGGGGACTTGCTCTCCCCATTATACTAGGACACTAGGAGCTTTTTGTTGCTCCTGGTGTTCCTGTGTACTTCTTCCTGTCTGGTCATCATAACATTGTCAACCAAATAGAATTTGAGGGCAAAACAACAAGTCCTCAGACAAAAACATGAAAACTTGCCATCATTTCTAACCTGTCCTTTCTTTATCCAGTGATTAAAGCGGGAGCGTGCTTTCTAAGTACGTTTTGTAAAAAGCCAAAGAAGAAAAGCATTAAGCTAAAAGACCAGTAGTTTCTCTATAGTGTCTTTTAAATGGTTAAAAAAATACATTAATTGACTGTCTTCCCTCAACTGCTTAGGTACAATTGGTGTTGGAGCTATCCTTTTTTGGTTTTATAGCAAACTGGAAGAGCAAGTAGAATGTGTGTTTTACCAAACTCTGTAGAGGCATGACATCTTATTTTGTCACGTAACTAGAGAAACATACAGGTTGAAATGTTGCGTATGTTAGGACAAAATGTCTGCAAATTGTAGTGTGTATGGACGTAAACATCCCAGTCCTAATTTGGACTAACAGGAAATCATATAAAACCTGGGAGTGGGTGTTGTCATTATTTAGTCATGCTAACCATATCCACAAGTGCTACATAGAACTGGACAGACTTACCTGCGTCACATAGGGAGGCATACATTATTTTCTGTGTTGCTGGCATATGTAGGCTAAACAAATGCCTTCCACACATAGTTATGGTACTAAAAAGTGAACCTACGCTAAGACTATGCAAATTAAAGTATTCACATTTTCGAGCAAGCAGTAAAAACACTTCCAAACAAGCCCTCAATAAGCTCTGTAGGTAAAGGCATTGTGGAAGAATCTGTCTTCAAAATTCACAACAGAGACATAGCTTCTCTCCTATTATTTTCTTTGGTAGGAGAATCTTGCCATCTTTCCAGCCCTCTTACAGCAGGTAAACTGTTAGAAGCCTTATTTCAGAATCTTTGTTGTGATCTTTGAGGATGAATTACTTACATGCAGCCAGACAGCTCAGTGAAGGCTTGTTTTAAAGTTGTTTTACTACTTGTTAAATTTTTTTACAATCGTTAATATCCATAGTCTGGCCACAGGTGCTCTTAAATCCAAGCAGTGCCAAATGCAACTCGTAACCTCAGTTCAGTTACTATAAGTGGCAACACAGATGCTTTATTTATTTTTATTTTTTTTAATATGCAACTTGTATAACTCAAGGAAAAGTCTTTTACAAGCTTAATCTGCGGCCTATGGGTGGATTTTTTAGTTAAATTTAAGCAGGCAACATAAGTAGCTCTTCCTGAGTATTAAAGTTAGTGTCAGACATCTTGTAGTAGCTGGTCTTCCGTAGTACTTTTACTTTTAGAATTCAGTATGGTTCACTTTAAAGCTCCATCTCTGGGTTAAATCAGACCCCACTCTTCACACCTCTCCCCCCACCCCCCTCTAGTTAACCGTTAATCCTATTGAAATGCCAAATTTACTTGGCTAAAGCTGCAGTCACATGATCCTCCTGTACTGAGTCTTTGTTTACTTCCTGGGGGTCTTTTTTTCGGATGTTTAATGTCACTGCATGTGTGACATGGACACTTCCCATTGGCAGAGTCCTCTCAGGATTGAAAAGATAGCTGACCTTACTGGAGAGGATGATAGGGGACCATTGGTCTTAATGTGCCATCTCAGTGCCGGATTAGTGGTCCTCCAACCCCATGGAACTGCACTGGCAAGGGAGCACAAAAGGGACCTAGGTGTATTGTTTACTTCACAAGGTATTGGGGTGGGGTGGAAGTGTAAATCCAGCATAAGTCTCTTAGCTTCTTATAACTCTTCAGGAATCTTGACGAGATTTCTATAGCTCCCAGTTCTTAACACCCCCTCCCTAAAATATAAGACATGGGTCTCAAAGTACCGGCCCGCGAACCGGTACCATGTGGCCTGCAGCCTGCTGACAAGTCAGGCACACGCTCACGGACCGCGTACCTGACTTGCGGGAGCAGATACACAGTCTGCATCTCTATCAGATGCAGTCCGCATCGCTTCTCCTGTCAGTAACGGCACACAGTTTCTGTCAGCCGGCGTTTTGAACATCTTCACTGAGTGCCGGCCGAAAGAATAGATTAATAGGGTCTGCACATTTGGCTGGTGCTAATCAACCACTGGATCACCATGTGCCTCGTCCCTGCAAAAATGTAAGCAGGTGAGGGGTCTCTTTATTTTATGTGTGTGTGTGGGAGTGGCGCAGGAAACGGGGAAGGTGGGGGTTGTATTATTGTGTTTGTGTGTATGTTTCTGTGTGTGGGGACCCATTCACACCTGTAAGTTTTTTAGGTGTGTTTAGGGATTCCTGCCGGCGTTTACATGCATTGGCTGTCACCTGAGCATTGAATGAATAGGTGACGGCTGCCGCTTGTAAACGGCAGATTAGGGATTCCTGACGCAGAAATCCCTAATTGCACCTAAACATACAGGTGTGAATGGGGCCTTATTGTGTGTTTATTAGTGTGTGTATTTCTGGTTGTGGGGGTGTGCATATTTCTGTTGGTGTCCATTTGTGTGTGTGCGCGCTAGCGCCATACTTCTGTGTGTGAGTGATTAATTTGTTAATCTCTTGGTCCTCTACGATTTTAAAATTGTAACCTGTAGGAAAGCTAAAACACACATATACTCACGTATACATACTGATATGACAAGCACACAGAAACATTAACAGACATCCCCACAATCCTGACAATATAAACACACATCTTCACAAAAAAAATATACTGACATTGCATACACAGAAACCATCACAAACTCATATACTGATATTAACACACAGACATTACTACTCGTACCGTATATAGTTACATTTTATTTTGAAGTGTAAAATTTGGCAAGCGGCCCCCATGAAAAAACTATTTGTCCAGTGGCCCCCAAGTGAATTGAGTTTGAGACCCCTGGCATAAGAGATATTGTGAAGCCAAGGAAGGGATGAGAACTCCAACTGTTGAATTTAGTTTCATGTACATGACAAATAGTGTAATATCTGTACAACAGCTCCAGTAGGTGAGCAGAGCTGAGATATAATTTGAAAAGATTTCAGTGTAGGAGTGACCAACACATTTAGGCACCCAGTGAGTCATTCATATTGTCATACACTCAGAACTGAAATATCTAGGTGGGTTGGGACCAAATTTTATTGTCGCTTTACCTGGCGTGTGTGCGTACGAACCCCATGAGTGATTCAACATGTCAATATCCACCTAAAAACTGAAATATTAGGTTTGCTCTTGTAAGTGATTTAGAACAATGTTCTGTTTCTGGGTTATTTTAGTGACCTACAATGAGTTTGTGTTCTGGGTAATAGATTTGCTTCAGTTGATGGAACCTAAATGTAATGTATCGATTGATAAATCTGTAAAGATATGGTTTCAGAGTGCCATGCATTCAGAAATTCTGGTTACCCGATCCACCCAAAATTGATGGAACTGTTTTGTTAGGTGCTGGAGAGTTGAACCACTCACAGGCTTCTGTTTGCACTTTGTTCTGGGTGCAGTCCCTGGCTTTGTCTTGTCCACCTAGGAGTCGGCCTTCTTGCTTGATTCTTCATAATAAAAAAAAGATGACATTTTGGCATGATGAGGTGAGAATATCAGGGATGTTGTCCCTCGTCTGTCCCTATACTGAAATAGGAATATACAGGTTTGGGGTTTTTTTTTGTTTGTTTTTTTTAATTTAGGGGCTGTGTGCTACAATTTGATGCTTTTTATGTCACTAGTTAATTTGTTTGGCGTAAGGCTACCTATTCATATAAGTGGGCTGCCTAATGGTCAAAACCGCACCAAAAAAGGTGCATGCACACCACAGTGCATGGTAGTCCATTATCATGTGTTGAGGCGCGCTGCAATAACAGGTGCATTCAGGTAAGGGTAAACGTTTTACGTCTGACACTTGGAATCACTAATTAGGTCTAACTGCTTTATTACTAGATGTTACTCTGAAATGTCTACAAAGAGGGTTTTTTACGTACACTTTAAAAGCAAAAGAGCTAACACCATTTTGGACAGAGTAAGGAATAGTTCAGACCCCCTGCCCATTTTTTCCCTTTCTCTCAAAGATTTACCTTCACTTGAAGAGATGCAGCAGAAAATAAGAGATTTTTATTTTTTGTTCCAAAGCATTTTTTTTTGATCCACGGCAGGTTTACCCAGTAGAAGGTTAACCCTCAATTCCCATTCCAATGATGGTGCCAAAAGTTTGGTATGTCCCACCTCTTTCTGTATTGTAGACAATAGTCACCAGAACCTATAGAGAATGGGAATCTCCTCTGTGATGACACAGACTACAATAAAAAAACAAGCGGCCATACACTTATAATTTCATCTGACACAAGAATCAGATTAAAATTCTAACAGTCAGTGGCCCTGTTGGTGCATGAATTACTCAATCGACTTTTGTTGAA